TTAACGGAAAGTCACCCTCATGTCTTTTTATATCAAATATTTGGACATTCACCCTTAAAAATTTAAGAGAGAGAGAGAGAGAGAGAGAGAGAGAGAGAGAGAGAGAGAGAGAGAGAAAGATTGAGAGAGATAGAGAGAAAGAGAGAGAGAGTGAGGGAGAGAAAATGAGAGAGAGGGTGAAAGCGAGAGAGAGTGAGAGAAAGTGGGAGAGAGGGTGAAAGAGAGAGTGAGAGAAAGTTGGAGGGTGAAAGAGAGAGACAATGAAAGCGAGAGAGAAAGAGTGAGAGAGAGAGAGAGATAGAGAGAGAGAGAGAGAGAACATGGTAACCATGTGTGTACAAAACCCTTTTATATCATGATTACCATGATGAAACTGTAAATGCACCTGCATCGCTGTCATTGAATGCTAACAATTCCATGAGTAAGAACAGTACACATGGCACTGAGTCCATTCAAACCTCCTAAGGTTATGCCAAGCCTATCTAAACGGTTGCGTGCAATTGGAATGCTTGAACCGCAATTGTATAAAACGTTTTTGTTAGGCGTTTTGGTGTACATCGCCTTACAGTCAAGCCTGGGATCGGGACCAACATACCGGCAACACGTTGCAGCGACCGATCACGTTCAAGACGTCCACGATCACGTCAAGATAATCCTACGCGTCCAGTTCACCTGCGAAATCGGTTTCAGACTGCAGCTAGGACAGCTTACGTCCGATAAGTGCAAGGACTACGTACGTGAGGAATCGATTACGAACGATCGACTACGACGTTTAGCTGGACGTCAAATTTTGCCGCCACGTCATCGAACAGCACGCCTGGCATGGTCAAAACAACGTCTGAGGTACGAGGACAGGGCCCACTTGCACAAAGCGAGCTTAGCGCTACGACTATTGTAAGCCTATGTTAAAGTATGGGAGTTACGATCATCTTAGCGTTAAGATCGCTTTGTGCAAGTGGACCCTGGAGGTTAGTCCTCTTCACAGACGAGTCTGTAGGTTTAATCTTGACAGCAGTGATGGGCGTCAGCGTGTTTATCGACGTCGGAGGGAACGTCACGCAGATGCGTGTATTGTTCAACGTTCTCACATCGGTAACGGCCATTCATTATACATTATAAATACATGTATATATATGTGTGACGTCAGACGGTGAGTGCACGAGGAATGACGTAATACATTGTGCACCTCGGCATGCAGTTATCATATACACGGCGGAACAAGCCGATTAAACTCGGAATGTTTTACAAATTGCAGCCATCTGGCGTTCTTTATTGTCAACGTCCGTTCGTGCTCACTGACGTTCTTTATTAAAAACGTCCTTTTGTACACATTGTTCTTTCTATTCTTATGACGTCTTTTCGTAACATTTGACTATCAATATTGTATTTTGTCCTTTAGAAGTAACATTTAGTTCTTTATTCGTAATATTTGACCTTTATTGCGTATTTTTGTCCTTTTTTTAAACTTTGTATTTTTTGACCGAATGGCCGTCCATAAACATAGGGTGTTGGGAGACATTGTCACTGATAATTGTTTGTTTGTTTGTTTAACGCCCACTCAGCAGCATTCCTGCTATATGATGGCGGTCTGTAAGTAATCAAGTCTGAACCAGACAATCCAGTGATTTACATCTCGATCCACGCAATTGGGATACGATGACATGCATCAAACCAAGACAGCAGCCTGACCTCCCGATCCCGTTAGTTGCCTCTTACGACAAGCATTGTCGCCTGTTTCTGCAAGCATGGGTGACCTATGACCTATTCTACTCCGGATCTTCACGGGTCACTGCAAGTGGAATTGTGCATGGTCATATCCGATACTGACTTGTGAACTGACAATTGACCCCACACTGCACCCTACTTGCATGAAATGACGTTTACAGAGGACATAGACATGATGAATAATATATAGATGGGTGATTTTACAACAAGAGGCACAAACCAGGTTTATCAAGTGTCAATTTCTAAAACCCTTTCATTATTTTTTCTGCCTAGTGAACTGACATGGTGAGGTGTTATTTTCTAAAAAGCACAAACAGCAAATCTAACTTTGTATTTTCGTTGATCACTGATAAAATAAACATTCAGGTGTCTTCTTTATTAGCATTACCGCCACACAACAATATTAATAAATATAATTAAAAATCCCCATGAAAATGCGTGTATGACAATTCAATAAAAACACATACACACATATTCATTTACTTGAACAAAAAGTCCCTAACGATTCTATCTGAGTTATTAAATTTACATTTTAAAAGCAAAAAGTTAGCAAACATTCGGAAAAAAGCAGTTTATAACAGCAGTGTTTTGTTTACTTTGACATTTTCATGTAACAATTGTAGAAATAATGTTTTTGTATGCGTGGCAGGCGTGACACGTGACAGTAGTGAGTATAGCTGTGTCGGAAAGGAGCCAAATGACAACTGTTTAAACATTTTATTGCTTGTTACAAAATCTGTCATCTGAATTAAATTACCCTGAACTACTATACTGAACCAAATTAATAACTTCACAATCCTAAAATTTTAACATTTTGACCAGTTATAATTGTGGGCCCTTATTGTGTATTTAAACAGTAATGGCCACGTATTGTCTTTAGATAACACCCGTTTTTGTGCAGGTGAATCGATCCAAATCATGTGCACAGCACTATAGTGGCAAAAGTGGTTTTTCACGTGCAACTGGTCACGTGGCCATAATACCGCACGTGTTTTCAGCCATACTTGTTAGCAGTCATTAACAAAAAAAAAGAAAAACACAAGAAAACAAAAGTCTTTACGGCCATTTGTCATGCCACGCCTTTCAAATGTGCAGACGGGAACGTCCGTAGCTGAAGTCGCAAGGACGATGGGTTGTAGTCGACGGACTGTTTATGATTTACAGACGCGTCTACAGCAAACGGGTACCACCGCTGATCGCCCTCGGCCAGGTCGACCACGTGAGACGTCACATGCAGAGGATCGTCAGATTGTCTTACGTCACCTCCGTAACCGATTTGTGACGGCTACATCAACCAGAAATGAACTGTTTAGGGGTAGACTGAGTGCGCAAACTGTTCGAAACCGTCTGAGAACTGCTCACCTTCATGCACGACGGCCATACTGCGGGCCGATTCTGACTCAATTACACAGACGTCAACGTCAATTGTGGGCACAGCGACACTTACGATGGACTCAGAGGAATTGGAGTCAAGTCGTCTTCAGTGATGAATCCCGATTTAATCTTCGATTTGCTGATGGTAGGGCGAGGCAGTGGAGGCGCCGTCATGAACGTTACGCCCAGTGTTGTGTACAGGAAGTTGACAGATTTCGAGGCGGAAGTGTCATGGTGTGGGGTGCTTTCTGTGGCAATGCACGTTCCAGGCTTCTTGTCATCCGTGGCAACCTCAACGCTGCTGCTTACCGCGACCAGGTACTGGCACCAGAACTTCTGCCTTTTATGGCAGCACATGGACCCGGTTTGATCTTCCAACACGACAATGCCAGACCCCACACAGCAATTTTGACAAGGAATGTCCTTCAGAATGCGGGAGTCAACGTCATGGACTGGCCGTCAAGGTCTCCCGACCTCAATCCCATTGAACACGTCTGGAATGCTCTTGGCAGAAGTCTGCGCACTCTCCAGAACCAACCACAGAATTTGCAAGATCTTGGCACCATTTTGCAACAACAATGGCGTCGTCTTCCCAATCATGTGTTCACAAGACTCACAAGGTCCCTGCGGAGGCGCTGTGTGGCAGTTGTCAACGCACATGGTGGCCATAAACGCTACCGAATTTGTGTGCCATTAGATTCTCGTGCTTGGGACTTTTTTGATTTAAACTGTTGATGTTATTACCGAATACCGTAGGTGCTTGGAACAAATTATGGTTACCACCGTTAATTAAAATCCTTCTTTGGACATTAATGATTAAAAATTACCTTCTCTTATACATTTGTCCGTTGTATATCATATGTGGGATTACTTTTAAAAAATGTGAAGTTTTTAATTTGACTCAGTATATATCTAACTTGGATGTTATTTTTGAAAGATCTTTTTCAATTTAATAAAAATCTGTGTTCCGGACACCTGTTGTGCACCTAGTTATAAAATCACCCATATATATTGTTCTGTTGCAAAATCGTTCTTTGTTTGCGCTTTTTTCCCCCATGCTTGTCAGCGATGCATAGGAACTTTTCCCCGCTGGTATGTATAATAATCAGTTGGTCTGTACGTATTATTGCATAATATTACTGGATTTGTTTGTTTGTTTGTTGTTTAACGCCGCACTCAGCAATGTTCCACTATATGCCGACGGTCTGTAGATAATCGAGTCTGGACCAGACAATCCAGTGATTGCAAGACCGTAGTTAACTTTTTTTGACAGGGCAAATAAGATTATTCATTTCTTATTCAAGTTAACTCTCACAAGGAAAAATGGTTTCGATACCAGCAATATATTCTTCAGAAGGTTTATAGTTTTATATTTCAAAGATAAAAAACCAAAACATTCTTAATTCGCGGAAAAGAATAATATTAAAGCCCTATATATATAGACAGACATTTCAACCCTTCATAAGTTTACAAGAAAGATACTCAAATTCATAGCTTTATTTTCTCATATTACGGATCACTTTCATATTGTGTAAGAACATATCATTATATATTCTCATCTTCTATGTAATAATTGAACGAATACTCAGAGATTTCGCGCCATATAAAAAGTTTACATGTCCCCTCCCGGAAGTAAAATAGCGGGCCTATTCGGTATGGTACAACCCGCCCTTCCTCAAACGACAAGCTGACATTTTGATCAACTCGAACAATTTCTCTTCCGAAACTCCACTTAACGGAAATGTTTGACATCATAACAATATATATACACCTCACCAATACATGAACGTCAGGTTTGTGTTAACTTGTTTGATATCTGACACCAACATACACCAATGCATAATGTTATGCCGTGGTCTATACCGGTTCATCTAATCGAAATCATCAATGCGCACCTGACCTCTCGCGAGAATGTTTGTGACGTTTGTGAGAAGGGTCGTCATTCTTACTTCCTTGTTCAAATTATGACAACCACTGTACGTTCAAACTTTATCAAAGTGGAGTTTCGTTCAAGGTAAGGTGATATTAACCACGGATATTACAATGTGACATTTTGTCTCACATTTTAACACTTAATGTCGAATCATATGGTGTTTTATCCGCATGGGACATCGGACTTGAGGGAATTTCGACTGACTGGAGTGCCATGCCCAATGATCAGGTTTGATAGATGGGGAACTATTTTGAGGTGAAGACAACTATTTATGTTTGTTTATTTTACAAGGTGTGTTTGTTGTATTGCTGGGAAATTTGTTCAGAAATGTCGATGTCTACAATATTTCTGCTGTGACAATCCGTGTGACCATTGAAGCAGAGAGCCCAGCCCTTCTCCAGCCTGGCGGAGTTCGTTCCCCGTGTCAGGCAAAACAGACAGGTGAATCTAACGCAACAGGGACGGTCGTCGCTGAAGTTGCTCGAATATCTGTTTATCTGTACCGGTGTTATAGTCAGACAAACAAACAAACAAACAAACAACCTCATAAATTAGCCACTGTTACAGCTTCGTGGTAATTATGAAGATAAGCATTTGATGCAACGACCAGATAACGATTTATATCCAGGGCCTATGATATTTTAATGCGTATGTTTATCTTGTTTCTATATTTCTACATGATTGATAATGTTAAATTTCAATTACCAAATCTTTTTCTTTATTATGGCAGCTTGTTGAGTTCAGTAAAAATAATTGGGGGACAAAGTAAAGCTATCTATAGTTGGAAAGGCAAGCAAAGGCATGTAAGACATGGGATCAGATTGTACGATTTGTGCGCACCATTTCAAGATTCGTTTGCAACATTCTTTTCGTGCTGGGTTGCAGGCCCACATATTTGCTCACTATCTCCATTTTTTCATGAATCAGTTTGATAATTCCTGATCCTGCTGATAAGAACATGTTCATTGTATTTAGGCTATCTGAAGTGTTGACATAGGTAACAAGTGATATGGTTATTTTGGTTTTGTATCTTATATATTATTGTGAATTAGTGATAAGCATCCAAGAATTCCAACACACATTTTCATAATGAAATACTGCGCAGAATGAATACATTTCAACAAAAATTGTGGAAATAAATTTTACTGTTGAACATTATGGAGAATGTTCACCCCATATTCCCCCATCACCTCAAAATAAACGTGCAACAAATTCATAAAAACAAATTCATTGCAAGTCTGATGTGTAATCAGGCCAATTATTTCCTTGTACATGTATGACAAAAAGAGAGAAGGTTACTTCTTTCTTTTTCCTTTTGTATCATTGCCTAGGGATTGAGTCACAGCAATCCATGTAACCATAGATTGTCAGTGGTTTTGGTGAACAAATGATCAAAATTGATCAATCATGAAGACTTACAACACAGGGTTAGAAATTAGGGCTGGGACGGGTAACTCAGGTACCCGGGTCGGGTGGGTACTGAGTAGGACCCGGGTACAGGACTACCCTGACCTGTGGTTAGTCACGTGATATATTGTTTAATGATAAAAATTATCTAGAACTCTATGGTTACACTACAAGTCACTAATGTTCGCATTTCTTTCTGACAATGCACCCATTCCTTCTGATTTTTCATATTGTTGAATAAAGATCTAACTTAATTCGACTTCAATGTATGAATGACCAGATTGTTTAATACATGTATCTCAATACGTTTTGCCAGGGCTATGCTAAAAATGTTCCCCATCGGACATTTTGAGACATCTCCTGAGACCTACAGTGGGTACCCGGGTAGGGTCGGGTAATAGGGGGGTGGGTACCTGGGTAGTAAATTTGGACTCGTCCCAGCCCTATTAGAAATTTTTATTAGTCTGCTAGTCCAGGACCATTAACATTCAGTAAGAACTAGTCACATTTCAGTGGTCTTGACCGTCAATTCTTGTTACTTAAAGTAAAATGTTTTGAAGATTTGTTTTATGTCTTGTTTGACCAGTGACCCTGTGGTTTTATATTTAAAAACACCAAGTGATAAGACTAAGAACACAGATATTTATAGCAGGTTAACTTTGTCCACATGGTCAGTACCTTACAAACAAACCCAAAATATGTCATGTGTGTTTTAATTCTGAAAAAGGTTTACAGAAATATTTCACAGCAATCAGTCTTTGGACCCCCTAGGGACCAATTGCCAGTCATACGAGGTGACTGAATTGGGAATCCCTGGCACATCCGGGTTAGACTTGGTTTTGAGCAACCGAAGCTGCTCGTAAGAGGTGACGAGATGGACCGGGCGGTCAGACTTAGTGACGTGTTTGATGGCATGTCAATGTACCCCCAACAGTGAAATGATGATCATTACATCAATCACTGGATTGTGTAGTCCAGACTCAATTATTGACAGGCTGCTGTCATATAGCTGGAATATTGCAATATCAATCAGCGGTAGAAACTAACGGTTTTCGCCCACTAGTCCTTATAATGATAAGATATAGAAAACCCTTCGAATGGCAAATTTCTACTAGTCATTATGATACTTTAACTATTGGGCAGTTTGGCAAGGACTACAGCACTAGTGCCAATTTCTACCGCTGTCACTATATTGATTAATGGTATAGATCTGAAATGTACAGCTGTGCAGATTCAAATGCATCTTTCACAATTTTTTCGACAGCACAAAATTTTCCGAATAAACAGATTATGTTTTAGAAAAGCTAAATATTTATTGAAATCTTTTTCTAAGATCTTATGAGATAAGAACTGGCATGACTGATGTCTTTGGTATTATATTCAACCACGTTATCTCTGTTCAGTGACATTGATTTCTGTTCAAGTCACGACGTGTGCACCCGCGTATGATAGTTGCGTTACCCCGCGAGGGCAGTTGGTTGTGTCACAGTTTACAGACAACTCTATTCTTGTTCGCTTCTTTATTATGACTTTGAAACCCAAAATGATCTATCTATCCCATCCATCCATCTGTGCAGTCCAGCGATAGAAACTAACAGTTTTACTCTACTAGTCCTTATAATGATAACATATGGCAAAATCCTTAAAAAAAGGCAAATATTTACTTGTCCTTCTGATACCTTTACTATTGGGCAGTTTGGCAAGGACTAAAGGACTAGTGCCAATTTCTAACGCTGCTGTCATGCATGCTGTCATGGTTGTTGTCATGGCTACTGTGATGATAGCTGTCATGTGTGACTTGGTATAATGTCATGGTTATTGTCGTGCATACTGACTTCTCTCATGGAATCTCTAGTGGTTTATTGTCCGTCCTTGGGCCATCCTTTTCATACTTTACACCAGTTGCGTAGATCGATGCTCACGATGTCAATCATCAGATTGTTTGGTCCAGACCAGATTATATACAGACCGGCATCATATAGCTGGAATATTGCTAAATGTGTCCCTTAACAACAAACAAACAAACAAACAAACAAACATACTTTACACCAAAGTACTTGATCTGAATATCTGTGTGTGATAGTGTTTGTGTGGCTTTCTCTCTGTTACTGCTGTAGCTTCTCTAGACCTCAGGGATGAGGCAGATAGTGACGTGGGAGATGGACATCTATGCAGTGGCTCCATCCCAGAAGTCTACATGTTACCATGGTTACAGATGAAGCCATCAAAACTGTTTTAACCTACGGTTGTTCATCCATTAGGAGATATAACTGCTGTGGGTATTAAATGAGATACCATCAATATATTCTCACAGGTCGAGGTGACAGAGATATGCAGTTTATGTCTGAGGAAAGATGGTGCAGTCATTGGTTAATGACTTTCAACTTTAGTTAAACTTTTGTTAAATCAGTGAAATCACTTGAGAAAGGACTGATGTCAAATCCTAAATAAACCCCTATGTATGATTAATGTCAGTAACATTTGTTTGTTGTTTAACCCCACACTCAGCAAATATTATTCCAGCTATATGATAGCGGTCTGTAAATAATTGAGTCTGGACCAGACAATCCAGTGATTGACTCAAGAGCATCGATCTACGCAATTGGGATACGATGACATGCATCAACCAAGTCAGTGAGCCCGACCACCCGATCCCGTTAGTCGCCTCTTACGACAAGCATAGTCACCTGTTAAGACAAGCATGAGTTGCTGAAGACCAATTCTAACCCAGATCTTCACAGGTATAATGTCAGTACTAGGTTTCAATCCTAGATAAATCTCTGTGTATGATCTGTGTCAGTACTAGGTTTCAATCCTAGATAAATCTCTGTGTATGATCTATGTCAGTACTAGGTTTCAATCCTAGATAAATCTCTGTGTATGGTCCATGTCAGTACTAAGTTTCAATCCTAGAAAAATCTCTGTGTATGATCTGTGTCAGTACTAAGTTTCAATCCTAGAAAAATCTCTGTGTATGATCTGTGTCAGTACTAGGTTTCAATCCTAGATACATCTCTGTGTATGATCTGTGTCAGTACTAGGTTTCAATCCTAGATAAATCTCTGTGTATGATCTGTGTCAGTACTAAGTTTCAATCCTAGATAAATCTCTGTGTATGATCTGTGTCAGTACTAGGTTTCAATCCTGGATAAATCTCTGTGTATGATCTGTGTCAGTACTAGGTTTCAATCCTAGATAAATCTCTGTGTATGATCTGTGTCAGTACTAAGTTTCAATCCTAGATAAATCTCTGTGTATGATCTGTGTCAGTACTAAGTTTCAATCCTAGATAAATCTCTGTGTATGATCTGTGTCAGTACTAAGTTTCAATCCTAGATAAATCTCTGTGTATGATCTGTGTCAGTACTAAGTTTCAATCCTAGGTAAATCTCTGTGTATGATCTGTGTCAGTACTAGGTTTCAATCCTAGATACATCTCTGTGTATGATCTGTGTCAGTACTAGGTTTCAATCCTAGATAAATCTCTGTGTATGATCTGTGTCAGTACTAGGTTTCAATCCTAGATAAATCTCTGTGTATGACCTGTGTCAGTACTAAGTTTCAATCCTTGATGAATCTCTGTGTATGATCTGTGTCAGTACTAAGTTTCAATCCTTGATGAATCGCTGTGTATGATCCATGTCAGTACTAAGTTTCAATCCTAGATAAATCTC